TGATTTAAAATTTTATTGTTGTTGAGGTGTTTTGCCCTTTTTTTTTTTTTTTTTTTTTTTTGATTCCTGGGTTGCTCTGTGGCAACTGATTCAGTCGGGTTCAAGAGGCTTTCTGTGGCAGAGAATTCTTCCTCCAAATGTATGTCTGTGTGGTCTCTTGCCCACTTCTAGATGGATTTTCTTTACCTTTCAGGATCACATCAATCATTTAGTTGCATTATGCTTCATAAAAGTGTTGGCACATGTTATTGCTTAAAACCAGTAATTGTGATTCAAATATGCTGGAATTCTGTAAAATGTTTCAGGAGATGGTAGACTGTCCCTCATTTGCTATTTGTTTTTTTCAGAGGTGCAAACACACTGGTAGTGCTTCCAAAATCTATGTTACATTCCTGTCATGTTTTTAGCTTTTTCTCTTTTCTTTGTGAGCAGCTGAATGGTATTTATTTTTTTAAATTTCTTTTCTGGTGTTGGAATCAGTTTGTAATCTCATTAATCACAGGGTAGAGGATTTTCAGCTTTGAATTCCAGTGCTGTTGATAAATACCATGGTGGCAAATGCCCTAAGCTAAAACGTAAATTTTCACTTCCCTATGTATTATTAACAGTAGTGCTAGTCTGTGAAGAATTAGCTTATAGATAATAACTAATGACCAGTCTGTCTTTCCTGCATTCAAGCCAATGCCCAATATGTATGCTTTACTGTTACACAAAAATCGGTCCTTTGCTTGTACTACAATGAACATAGTTTCAGTAGGGATCGGTTGTACCCTTCTGCTTCAAGTATGAATAATGGAAACTACGAGCGTATGTAATTTCTGACATAAATATGAGAAAAAGTGGGAGTAAATAAGTTGTGGGCCATTAACTTTGTCCTGTATTTTGAAGGGGAAATATTTAACAAACATTTGTTGGTTTTTACAAAATGGGACAGATTTCAAACCGTATTTTAAGTCAATTTGTTGCTGGCAAATGGTATCAAAATAATGGTATGTTAGTTTAAGGCTACTAAATGGGCAACAATCTGCCCAATATAGTAAAATCTGACAATGAGCTATTATAATGGACATGAGTTTGTGGCATGTAACTATGTATAGGGAAAATATGCTTGATATGCAGAGCACTATTTAACTGCAGTATGTAGCCATACAAGTAAAATTTTAGGAAGAGAGGAAAATAAGGTAAATATACTATTTATGTTTACAGTGAGTAAAAGCAATTATATAACTACTTTGTGCCTGGGGATATTTTTTTTATTTATGTTTCCAATGTGGGTTGCTTTGCTTGATTTGACTGGTACGTTTGGCCTTCGCATCAAGCTGCTGGAGCTTACCTGATGTCACTATCTGTAGAGAGCGGGGGACGAAGGATGTATGTGAGGAGAGAGCCCCAGAGGGCAAGATAAAGGAGGACGTTTAAACTGGGTTTTTGTTGCTGTCTTTTGAGATAACAGTAAGGTTCAGTCCCTCAAAGTTAAATATACATACTTAGCTCCTTATGACAGTGTACTGCAGGCACGTTATTCAACCTGTTCAGATTACTGGATACTTTGAATTAGCTGGAAAGTGAAAATACGACTTTACGGTGTTGCACTTGTAGAAGTACAATCAGTTCTGCCAAGTTAATGTGAGCGATTTCGGATTTTATTATAAGCCCAAATTTACTTCACATGGTTATTCCTCCCCTCCCCCACCCATTTTATCCAAGCACTGTTGATTCCATGAATTTATTCAAGTTGAAGTGGAAATAGATTTAAGATTCTGATAGAGCAACAGGCTTTCTAGCGTGGACATTTATAAACAGTTTTCTGAACTTGTGGGTGTCCCCATTTGGTGTACCAATTTGCACCCAGTGTGTTTATATGAACATGTATGCAGGGGCTAGAATTGCACATCACTGCAAGACAGGGGGAAGGATGGGAAAAGTGGCATTTTGCCCTTCAGTCCTCTTCATAGAATCCCTGTCTCATGTCTTGGTTTAGACCAGAAGCTCAGCTTTGGTCTTAGACTAATAATTCCTTAGTTTTGTTGTCTCTGTACAGATTTTCTGAGTCAGGACTCCTATTAGATTCAGTGGTTTTTGAGTTTCCTGGGAAGAGTTAGGACTGACTTTATTTATTTAGTGTCACCCAACTAGGACTTTCCCAGTGGTATGGCTGTATAAAACACAGCTCTGAATGGTTGACAAAGTAACAGTTACTGTGTTCACTTAGGCAGAATAATTACTTTATCATCAAAAAGAGGAGTTTTAACATTTTCAGGATATTAGCAGAGTAAAATATTTTGACATGTCTTGAGAATTTTTCTACAGCATCCAATGTGACTTTGTTTCTTAACAAACAAAAAACTGCAGGAGGGCATGTTTTTTAATGCTGGCAGCTAGGGATTATGTATTAATTTTTAAATCAACCTTCTTATGGCATTTAGAAAGCAATTATTTTTGTTGCTGTGATTGAGGTCACTGATGGCACTTGTGGTGCATGAGTTTGTATATGCTCTTCTGAATTTTCACTGCAGACTTCCAGACATTTCTGCTGTCAGGGGGAGCTGCATCAGGCAGTTTTAGCTTTTGGGTATATATATCTGATGCCATTTCCTCATAGCCTCAGTTTTGATATAAACTTCCCCTCTGGGAATTAAGATCCATTCAATATGTATAAAACTTTCATGTGTAATATCATACCTTTTTCCTTGCTGTCTTCTGAAATGTAAGAGCAGGCTCCAGATTCTAATGAAGAATCTCTTGCTTTCATGTTTTATTAAGGCTCTTGTGTGTTGTTGCTTGGGATGAGTTCAGGTGAAGTAAAGATGCACTGGTTAATTGTAAGTCTTGTTGCCTCAGAAGCACCTGAATATCTGCTGTTTTTCCAGTGATTTTTGTCTTCCTTATCTTGCTGCCATGTTTTGCCCATTCAGAAACATGTGACAGAGCAAGGTAACAAAATTTGTGCTGTTGTTTCCCAATAAATGCACTGGTAAGCCATAAGATCTTGCTATTTGTAAAGTGTATTTATAGTTACTTCATTGTGTAATTCCTTGTTAGATAGAACAGGCAAACAGGGTTTTAACTGAGAATTAGAAATAGGGGAGTTTTGAACTCTCGAAAAGAAACAAAATCTTTTTAAGATGCTTTAAGCAAGGAAAAGGGGTTGACAGAAACTACCATAGCCTCAGGACTAAATAAATAATAAAAAAAAACCCCGAGCAAGGCTACCATACTTAGCAATGTTCAGTCTTTAAACCTGATTTATTTGATACAGTCTTTCCAAAAATTTTGGAAAGTGCAGTTTCTCTGTGGCACACCTGTCCTCCTATGGCCACTTGAGTTTGCAGCAGCATCTTTCCTCCAGGAGAATGGTTGTGATTATTTGCTGGAAGTGCTTCCATTCACTCTTATGCTCTGGAGGAATGGATCCGCTCTCAGCAGCTGGCAGCAGTTTGCTGTCTTCCAACCAGTGTAGGGTACCCGCATCCCTTTCTTGGTCCCCTGTCCTGAAGGAACTGAACAGCAGCCAAACCATTCCTGTTTAAGACTTTGTGACTAACTTTTGAGACACCAGGTAAGAATGGTGTAATGCCACAATTTAGGATACTCTGATGTGGATTTGATGTTTTGGATTATGTCTTAATTTTTGAAACTAAAACCTTTTAATTGATCTGTTGTGTATAAGCAACAGTTTATCGTATTCCTGAAAAAAGAGCCAAAGGACACCTTTATATCTGAATAACACTGATGGTATTCTAAAATTATTTCATGAGTCTAAAGTCATTGCACATACTTCAGAGGCTGATAAGGCATACGTGTGACTGGATGCTGTTTACACTAATATCTGCCTCAAGGCTAAATTTTCTAAGTGCTTTTACTTACTAGATAAATTTACTTATGAGATCATACCACCAAATTTTTGCTAAATTAGTATGATGCTACAGTTTAGATCTTGTGCTAGAGATCTTTTGTCTTGTATTGGTTAAGTCTACATGGAAGTTATTTTTGTCAAGTGTTCTTCAGATTGCAGTGGGCTTTTTGTAGGTTTTTGTGGGTTTTTTTCCTTCTTTTCCCATGCAAGTAGCCGAATCATTGAAAAGACACAGGTACAGCTGTATAAATGCAGCATTGTAATAGTTACTCTACTGCTATTTAAAAATCGTTTAATAGCTGAGTGTCTTATTGTCACTGTGCATTTATATACTTAAGACTTCTGGGTGAAGTAAGGAAACATTCCTCTCCAGGTTCTTCTAAAAATGGTTTTCAGAAAGGTTAAGTGGGCAAATATTACTAGGCTACACTGTAAACCGGTTGGGAATTGAACTTTTGACTCTGGATTCCCTGTCCAAAGGAGCCAAACATTTTTAAAAACTCCAGAGCAGTGTGAGCTGGTGATACCGAGGTATTCTGCCAGTCTCTGAGGTTTTATGCTTCAGGGAGAGCCAGAAGTAGAGTGTTTTGACTTTTAAATGTGTTCTCTCAGAAGAAGATCTCCTGATGGCCTTTGCGCAGGGTGCATGCCATTTAAGAAATGCAATGTGTCATTTATAAACAACCTTCTGGTGCTTGTTATGAACAATGGCATAGTGTTGCTTCGTTCAAGGAGGAAATACTTCAGGGTCTAGCAGACTGATAGCATCTATTTCAAAAGTATTGTGATATGTCCTCCAAAACAAGAAAATGGTCTCACAGGTCACACCGCAGTGATTAATGAATTAAAGTATGACATTTTCTGAAGCGTGAACCTTAGGAAAATGTAATGTATATCAATAATAAAAAAAGGACTATTTCTGTGGGTATAAGGTTAAATGTGCTACAATTATGATTCTTTTTGTAGTATGTTAATGAAATGGATGCCGCAAAGCACTTTTTTTCCCCCCAAATTGGTCTTTCAGTTGCTCTTGGGAAGTATAGTTGCTTAATTTCCCTTGTTTGCTGTGTAACCTACTGATGTTGCAAGTCTCTGCTTCATTGTCTCTTTTCCTCCCTCTTCCCCCTGCCCCCCAAACACGCAGGAAGTAATTTTGGTACTGCGAAGGATCTGACAGAAGAAATAAGATCATTAACATCTGAGAAGGAGGGGCTGGAAGGACTTCTCAATGAACTGTTAGTCCTGAGTGTCAGAAATGTCCAAAAATTAGAGAGAATTAAAGATGATTACATCAGACTGAAACAAGAACTCGAACAAGGAGAGGCTGCCTTTGGTAAGTAGTGCACAGCCTGTTACAGCTTTTGCTCGGTCATGGGTACCTAGAACTCTGCTGGGTTGGATGAACTATCCTGCATTTCACAAAACACACTCTGATTTTTCTGAGGGAAGTTTGGCCAGGACCTAGATAAGCAATATGCTGAATACGTACGTACTCGGCTGTTTCTGCTGGAGGTGGGGGAGGTTGAGGGGGAGAAGGGGTATCCCAGCAATATACAGCTTTTGGAGATCTGTCTTAGCCCAGTTCTCAAAAACTTTATTTTCTAAGCCCATTTTTTTAATAACGATGATGATACTGTGTATTTATTCACATTTGGAGAAACAGATGTAGTATTTTATGTGGAAGCAGTAGATGCGGTTGGCTGTGACAATAGAACCATATTTAGTATATATAACTAAATATTTAGTGTGTGTATATATACATTAAAAAACATATTTGGTGATGAGTCTGAATGTATGAGGTGCATGCTTGGGGGGATGTTAAACAGCTTTCCAAACACAGCTCGCATATAACTGTAACCAGGGTGCTTGGGTTGTAGTGTCACGGTGGAGTTGGGGAAGTTCTGCGCAATTACTGGGAAAGCTACTGACAACAAAATAGCAAAAGACTTGGCTTATCTTCTTATCTGCTGTACTGTCTCCTGAAGTTAAGCAGATAAAGTGGCCTTGCTGCTTGATTAAATGAAAAGGCTGAATAACATTTAATTGTCTACAAATGTACCGTTACTATAGTTACCTCTAAACAGCTAAGTATAAATCTGAGAGCTACTTTAAAGCTCTAGGGGTCTGAAGTGTCTTTGTTTTTTCAGGATCTTATGAGCAGTAGGTTGGCTGAAGAGAGGAGAGTGCCTCTGTTTTAAAAAGTATATGAAGTTTCTTCATAGGCATGTGGATAGGCAAGAGCTATTTTAGAAACAAAAAGTTTTGTAGGCAATGGAATAAGTCTAAGACAATATTTTGAAGATGCATAGAGAAATATATATATACACACCCACACTCTACTAGATAAGAACTTTCTTAGAAACTAGATGGTTAAAAATTTTAAAAATTGTTCCTCAGAATTGTTACCTAAGCTGTGTGATTCAAACCCACATCAGGCACTACTTCTCATTGCCTGGATTTGCAAGTGAGTTGAAGGGGGTTTTGACCTTCCAATCTGTCCATTTTGTTACTCCTTTGTTTCTAGGACAATTAAACTTCCTATAATACACGTGCACTTCTCATTTGTATTTTTCTCCAGTAGGGTTTTAAAAAAAACGTGTACAAGGCTGTTGCTGAAGCAACAGCATTGGTTGCAGTTCATAGATTCTTTTTTTCCTCTTTGCATTTATGTAGCTGTAATGAGGTGTTGTCTTGGTCTGACCTCTCCTGTCCTACAATTTATGACAATGAATTGCAAAACACTGAGTGTTTACTATGTGGATTCTGTAGGCATAAAAAGGAATTTATCCTTGTGTAAAGTAAAACTCTATCAAGCACATACTAGTTGGAGAAACATAAATTGAAACCTGAGATCTTCAGATCTGCCCCCTTGCATGTAACCTACACCATTTTCTCCTTTAACAAATGGAAATTCACTTAGGTTTCACTAGCATGAGTTTGATACCAACATGTTTAACTGAATGAAAGCCTTCTGATACTCTGGAAAATAGTAAACAGATTGTATCTTAAAGATGGCATCCACTTCCATGAACCAGTTGTTATTTTGTACAGTACTTTCATGTTTGGGGAATAAAGCATAAGCAACTGGAATACGATTTTGTTACCATTTGTTTTTGCTGTTGTTTGAAAGAACTGGAGATAATTGTGTTGGCTTTGTCTGTGTGGTGAAAGGTGCAGTTTGTGTCAGGGTAGCCGGGCCGGGCTTCACGGCCTCGGGCTTTGTGGTTCATTTAAACCAGTAAAATCCATGTTGCTGCTGAGACAAGTGGTTTTGCCTCTTCCTCTTCCCGCCCCATCCGGTACCCAGCTCCGTGCTGACCAGAAACCTGATGTGAGCAGGGCGTTGCACACCCGTGAGACCCACCAGCACATGGTGGGAGTGCTGGCTCTGGCATAAGGAACACAGCAAGGGTTTGGGGCTTGTGATGGGGAATGTGTTGACCCACTGCTGTTGGTGACACTGTGATTTTTGGGAGAGTGTAGTCTGGCAGAAAAATGGCTCCTAAAACACTTCTGCTGCTTGCGCTAGTAGTGCAGCATGGGCTCTGCTGCTCTGTCCTGTGGGTTAAATTAGCAGGAGAGGTTGGTGCCATTGCTTGGTGCAACCCATTCCTGGTTAGTTTGACTTCTCCCTCTATAGCTACGAGCCAGGGGGAGAAATCTTTTCTCCATCTAACTTTACTAACTGAGGATGTTACTGTCCTCTAGGTTTTTTTTACTGTCTGTCTACTAAGGGTTCATTTGGGAGCCCTTCAGGCCAAATGAGCCATGCTGACTTAAACAGCAAAAATGATCTGGGCTGGGCTGGCTGATCTGTGTCCTGGCATACAGTAGGGATGTACCTGTGATTCCTCCTTGCGGCACAGTTGTGCTATGCTTTGGCTCAACTCTTTATGAAATAGGTGTCTTCTCTCATTCTTGCTTTCATGTTGTTTCCAGGGAATAATCATCATCTTTCTCTGCATCAGGACCCCTCCCTCTTTTTTTTTTAATATAGCAGCACCTTTAAACTTTCTGCATGGCTATTTCTACGTCATCTGACACTTGAACTGTAACCTTTTGTGCCTGTGAACTTCTTGAAAACTTATTTTGAATTTTTTTTTTTTTTTTACTGAGGATAATACCACTTTGTCTGGAAAACATTAAACAAAGAAATTGAAATGCTAAAATATGTGTGTATGTTTGTCTTTCTCTTGTGTATAAATTGATCACCTATTTTTTTACTTCATTAATAATTGTTGATTTCTCACAGTAATGCAGATATAAAGAAGCAGACGTCAAGGGAAGAGACTTAATCACACAATAATCAGAGCTGGAATTTTAAATAGGACACATCATTAGCATGTTAATGAATTTTCTCACTTTGTGCCAGCTGCCCAAGTATAAAAGATACTGCAGATGTAGTGCAAAAACCAGGCTTGGCTTACTGTGCTGAGAGCTGTCAGTGCTCCCTGTAAAGGAGATTTGACAAAGATCCTTTCATATTTTTAGAGATGCTCAAAAATGTTTTTCCCATTGGATAATAGAGGCCTCGACAAGTAATGCTATTTATTAGCATTTTAGGATGAATAGTACTAATTTGCCCTTTAGATGGTAACTTTCTTCTGAGGACATCAGAACGCTTCTATAAAAGTGATAACTGTTATTGCCATTTTACAGATAAGAAAGCCAAGGACATAGAGGTCATGTAATTTTACCTGGAATGGTGGTGAAACAGTTTCCTGGTTGCTCTCGCATCAGTCATGACTGAATTAATCACTTACAATAAACAGATTTGAAATCGAGCGATACTCTTTGTGAGCTTTACATTCTTCTAGACTGCAGGCATTTCTGTAGCCTAAGACATAATGGTTCTGGGAAAATCGCTGAAGGTCTTGTGTTTTACTGTTGAGCAGATCTGCCTTATAAAGTCAGAAGGTTCTGTTATGGCAAGGAAGAGAACTGCTTTGCAGCCCGAAACACCCAAACGCGTGTTCCAGACAAGTGAAGCTTAATTACTTGCCTGTCTGCCAAACTGCTGGATTGCGCTTATAAATCCTGGCTTGGGCTGACTGGCATTTGTAACCCAGGGCTGGAAATGAAACCTACCCTCTTGTCTTGGTTTCCTCATTACCAGTTTTTCCTGCCTCATTTGCTGAATTCCTTTTCTGGCTGCACTCAGCCATTTTCTGCCCCTATTACCCTTCTGGGAAAGCATCTCCTGCTAAATAATGTATGTATGCACAAAACTAGGGGGGACTGTATTTCGCAATCTAATTGCTAGGTTGTGCTTGCCAACTCATCTTAAGTAGAATTTCTATATGGAATTAATTTCTAGAGGAAATATAAAATAAAGGCTATCGTGGACATCAACATAGCTTTTTAACCCCTTTTTTTAAACTATTGTTTGGAGGCTGATGCTTCAGTCTCTGCTGCTCAACTCTCATTGACATCACTGAGTTTTATTGTCTTAGAAATTGCTTGTGTAAGTCCTAGAGCTCTTACCAGCCTGCTTGTAGAGTTAAGCTTTCTGGATTTGAACAGATATATTTATTAAATAATGAATTCGATGTAGCAGAAGGGTTTCTTAGGAGCTGGAATTTTCTTTCCACTCAGTTTTTCTTTTCTCTTGTTCAATGCACATACTCTGCGTACTTGCACAGGATATCTCATAGCTTTTTGGCCTCTAACACAAGAGAAACCTATCCAAGTCCATTTTTTTAATTTGCTTTTTAAAAAAAATGTATGTTTTGACTTAGCTACTTAAGAATAAAATGTGTTCAGAATGTACTCTGAAGAGTAACAAAAATTCTCCTAGTCTTTTTACAGTCACTGTTCAGAAAGCTACATTTTTGGCTGTTATGGAGGATGCAATTAATTAGTCTGAAGCTTAATATCATGTGGACAGCTGAAACCACTAGTGGTAGTGCTTAAAGTAATACTGGCTTTGCATACTGAAATATTTATGAAAAGCAGGTTCTGTGCTTCTTATACAATTGTATAGGATTTGATTTACCAAACTGTTAATGACCATTTATTGCAAAAACGTTTTTATTCTCTTTTAAAGACACATTTTTATTCTGACAGGTTCAACATTGAAAGTCTTATAATAGAAGCACATGCAGTGGTGCTTCCCACTGGAAACTGGAAAACCTTTTTTTTTTTTTTTTTTTTTTAGTTTAAATATTTGGTTTTAGTAATAGCTGTTATACAAAAGCTTCTCTATTTCTCTTCCTAACTGATTTTTGCAATGCTTTCTGAAAATGTTTAAAGATTATTAAAAACTTTATACCACTTTTAATTATTTCAAAAAATATCAATTTAGTATCTGCCTAGGACATAAGAAAAACAATG